TTGCTCTGCTTCCCACTGCTGCCAGTGAGTCGGGGAAGGGTCTGACTCCTGCTGCCAGTGCCAGGCCGCCCTCTGGCTCTCCAGGCCATATTGCCTGAGGCAGGGGGCTTGGGAGAAGAGATAGAATGGGGGCAGAGAAGGGGCAGGGAAGGAACCAACCAGGGTGGGGCAGGGCCAAGGGCATGGGGGAGTTGTCCTGGATCCCACACACTCCTAAGGATGGCCCTCCCCCAGGAGAGGGGTGGCGTGGGGAGGAGATACCTGGTGAGGCAGCCATGTGGTTGGTACTCCCTTGTCTCCCTCCCCAGCAATTGCCTCTGGTTCCAGATGTTTAAGATGGCTGTGGCATGTTACCTATGTCTCACACCCATAAAGAAGACTGCTGGTGACTACTGCATTGCAGACCAGGATCTTTGTCTTCATCAGCAGATCTCTGTCAATGAAGTCACAATGAAGGGACTTTCTGAAGGATACTGTGGCACAGCAGACCCTATGTTTGATTTCCACATCACGGTTAGCTGTCTGGGAGAGGCGCTTCCAAGGTAAAGGGAAATACTCAATGTTTTCCAGTTCACCAGCAATGACAATTTGTGGGAGAAAGAGCATAACTTATGCAGAAACAGGGTGGTGGAGCACCCTACTCCTCCCAACGTTGAGGGAAAGTCCCAAGCTATCATAGGTGCCTAAGAAAAGATCTAGGGTGGATTGCAAATCAGCCTTTGTGTGTGCGAGGATAGCACAGTTGGCAACTTACTGAAGTTAGTAACAACAATCCTGCTGACATTTTTAGAATAAAGATGCCATAGGTTGCAGAACTGGCCTCAGTCAAGAATAGAAATCAATATCATGGCACGTTAGATTTTAAAAAAAATGGATTGGGGTAAAAACACATCCCTGCTTGACACCAGTATGGATGGTGAATGGATCCACTTCCAGTACAAGACAGTGGCAGTCACCCCATCCTGAAGTAGTATGAGAATATAAATGAACTTCAATGGACAACCAGTCCTAGACAGCACCTTCCATAATGCTTCACAATTAATAGAATGAAAGGCCTTACTTAGATTTGTAAAAGTCATATGCGACGGCTGATGGTGTTCTCTTGTTCTGTGAGCAAGGCTCTTCCTGGCAATGGAGAGGAGGGCAATGTCTCTAATTCACGCACTTTGATTTGCCACAACATTGGCATTCTTTAGGTCAGACAGAATTTCCTCATTAACCCACATTTTCAAAAGATGTTGATGAAGTTTTTGCATGAGTGCAAGTCTACCAGCTTTGAAGACCTCATCTGGGATGACATCTAAGCCAGGCACCTTGTTATTTCTAGTTGGAGTGATGGCACATCAAACTTTCTCAGAAGATGGGGTTGTCAAGAGATTCTATCATTGGATGCTGTGGAATGGATTCAATGGTGGCAGCTGAGACTTCAAATTCACAGTTCAGTAGAGTCTCAAAGTGCTCCTTTCAATGTTTTTTGGAGGACTACATGGCCCCTCAAGAAGGCTAGAGCTGTCCTGAGATTGCAGAGGGGATATTGCACTTGAGCTTGGTCTGTAGATGATTATCCTTGCTTAAAAAAAAGCTTCTCATGTCATGTTGATCAGCAAATCTCTAGATCTACATGGCCTTTGCTTGCCAATGCTGATTCTTGATTTCACACAGCCGCCTTTGAACTATAGTTTTAAGCCGATAAGTCTCTCATTTATGCTCATTAGAGGGTTCATTTTGCCAAGTGAAAAATGTGCTTCTCATCTGATGAATAAGTGCTAGGATTTCCTTGTTTTTCTCATCAGACCAACCCTGATGGCAGTGAATGGACTTTCCAATCAAGTCAGCATATGTAATTATAACCAATGATAAGTTCATCTATTTAAGATACAGTATTACATTTGCTATACTATTAATGATTCCCAACAGACAAACATGTAAATGATCCAAAAAGTAATATCAGACAAACAGAAAACAGACCAAAAAGATTTAAGGGCCCAGCCTCACACGGATTCATGGAAATGTTAAGTGCACAGTTGTCCCATTATAGCAGTTTTATCCTTTCCTCGAAAGCATCAGCCAATAGCTGCTGTCAGACACAGGCTATTGGACTAGGTCGGTGGTTTGCAACCTTTTTTCATTGATGGACCCCTAAACAATTTCAAATGGAGATGCAGAGCCCTTTGGAAAATTTTAAACATAGTCTGCAGATCCCTGGGGTCCATGAACCACAGGTAGAAAACCACATGGCTAGATGCACTGCTATTCAGCTCTACAGTAGCAGTTCTTATCTTCAGACACATACTCAAAGGTCTTATTGACTTTGGGTGCATAATCCGTGGTAGGACCAACCCCTTCCCCTCCCCCCCCCCGTGTATATTTTTGAAAACACTGTGCACCAGGCAAGGCTCTCTTCCTAGTATTATGTTGGTATCATAATTAGTTCATATGTCATCCTTTTCTTCCTTATTTCCCCCTGCAGTTTTTACCAAACTGATTCATTTTGTGTCTGTAAGCTCTTCAGGGCCAGAACTATATCTTCTTATCTGTCTGTAAAAAGCATTCCAAAAGGGGACCCTTACCCTAAATGGGGTCTCTATGGGCACCAAAATACCACCACTTCTTCTACTAGTCAGAATATACACTGTGATGCATAAATAGGAGTAAGTACTTCACTGCTGCCATACCCCTATCTCTGCTGTGAATACAGTACCAGAGATAGAAAATAATGTGTTAGTTCAGAACATGGTTCATACAACACTCTCAGAGTCTGAAGATCCAAATATAAATGTAATACAGTCAGAGGCTGCAAGCCAGGCAGTTATGCACATCATCATAGGAGCATATCCAATAGCACAGAAATAACTAAACATGCAGAGCCCAGTTTCCCTTCCATTTTTATTGGTGTTAATCAGGAGTAACTCTGCTAGAGTCAAAGCAGTGACCATTTCACACTTCCCTGGTCTTGCCAGTGATCCAGGTCTGAGGAAACCTCCTTCCTGGATTATGAATATCTGCTTCCTTCTGTCTCCTACTGAATTCCATCCCTTCCTCTGCCACTCCTCAGCCTTCCTCCAGCTTAGCTGATAGATACCTCCTTTCTCTTCCCTCTCACCTACTGCCCAGCCATGCGACCTCTTCCTCCCACCACATCACTCTCTTTCTTGTTTCACACCACATTGACATTAGTGCCTTTCCCTTCTACTACCTCTTCTACTTCACTTCTACTTCACCTCTTGCATCTCACATTATGTGTTTAGTGAGATTGCTAAACTTTATGAGATGCACAGAGAACTCTTTGTAGCAGGGATGATAGCTGTCTTATGGTTCTGGAAGGTGTTGAGGGCATTCAGGGTGAAATTCAAACCCCTACGGAGGGCCAGCAAAAAGTATCGGCCCTACATTAACTGGGCTTAAGAGATGATAATTGGAACAAAGGACCCATATAGGAATTTTGAAATCGACCTCTATATACCATTAATCAACAAATGATGTCAGTGAAAGCAAAGAGAATCAGTTCCATAAATACATAGACAAGTGATTTTAAAAAATTGTTGTACATATGCGTCATCTTCCCACATTAATCTCATACCACTGTTTCTATATTTTCCTTCCTCTTAAAGGCAATTCCACTTTAGGAAAGGCAAAAGATCTTAAGCATCCCTTGTGTATTGAACTCCACTTTTCATAAATCCTCAGTGGGAACATCAAGATAGAAGGAAATAGTATTGTGAAAGTATTTTATTCTCAGAGGGTAAGAAAAAATATCTCTAGCTCTGATTACTTAGATGTCACTGGAGCTATACCAGTTTATACCAACTGTAGATCTGATACAAAGTTATGGAAGGTCAGGTAAGAAAGTATAACAATTAAATATAGTAAATACAACAACACTGAACAGTAAGAAGTCTCGAACTCCCGCGATTGGCTGGATTGAGAAAAAGAAATGCACCCCCTTCTATACACAAGTAAGAAAATACCCGAGAGAATAGATAGCTCTGAAGTAAATGGAATCAAAACATAAGCAATGCTTTATTGGAGTATCCTGTGGCCAATTATATTGGAAACTATTACAAACAGATTGAACAAGACTCTCTTTTAACAGAGATATACGGTAACAACAGTTTCTTTCACTTTTTGGAAACAAGTATTTCAACCATAAATCAAGTAAAACATCAAAATTATTCATTGCAACACCATGAAATACAATAATATGTTTTTAAAAACAGTGAAGAAATCTACTCTTTATACAATGTTCTTCAGAATTCATTAGAAACTTTTTATAAATTAAAATAATAAAATGAACCTTTTTTCATTTTACAAAGCAACAAGTTTTAAAAACAAGTATATCTTACTTAGAATTGCCAATAAAACTGGGTGGAAACAAGCTGAAAATATGGACACCACCAAAAATACACAAGCAACCATCACCTCTTAGGAAGACCTTCTGCTATAGAAGGTGCTATGTTAATTGTACATACAGCTTTAAACATTGCAATATACCACAAATAAACCTTAATAAGGTTAAAAACAGGACCCTTTGCAAAAAGGGGTGAGTTGGCAAATACCAATTCAGTCTCACAAGTTACAGGGAGCAGTAACTTCAGTAGATATTTGACATAAATCAGAATCTATTTTTGCTTCCCCTCCCCAAATATATGTAAACATTTAAGAGAATTTTAAGTAATTCTTGAAAATTAACCTCCCGTTTGGCTTAGAAGTGAAGAACTTCCTTTCTTCACTTTTTGCTTAGGATAGGATTTAATCATCTCAATGTATTCTGTTTAGGGAGCTGAAAGAAAAACTCATTATGTGAAAATCCACACCACTCCCCCGCTCAGTTCAGTTGTAGTACAGCATATTGCCAAATCTATCCAATAGGATATATATTATTTCCATTTGGTTTAAATTCTTAAGACTTGTATTCTCTCTTGTTCCATCACATGAAACCAAATTGCTTATTTATTATTATTTGAGGCACAATAGGACCTCAATTAGACCATTTGCTATAAAGAATTGTTCTTTAGATGTTGTGTCTGTAGAGGTTTTACATGATATTCATAGATTTTCAGAGCGGGCCCAAGTTTTAGTGCAAGTCCAGTCAATACATCATTTCTTGTCATCAGTAGCAATGATTTGCCGTCAATTTCCTAGAAAAAGAATTAACAAGTAATTAAGAGTCACATACATGTGTGATCACAAACCTATTCTCATCAGACAGAAGAATACTAAAGAGGATCATTCATGAAGAACAGAAATACTAAACTCTGTTTTTTTCATAAGCTGTGTACAGCTGTACAAATGATGACATTTGCTGAAGGGCTGATTTTCAAAGCAGCCATTGACTTTGGCACCTCTAGAAATCCCGCTATTTATTCAGCTGTATTGCTAGAAGCATCCATATTTGAAATTTTTCTGTTAGTTGTTTCATATTCACAGATGCAGACAAATGTTTTAATTATTACAGCAGGAAGGGTGGTCTTGTTGCAGTGACCCATGGTGAAGAAGATGTGAGTTAAAGTCTGGTACATCGATGACATCTTTATGATCTGGACACATGGCCAAGAAACACTGGAGATATTCCACAGAGATTTCAACAACCTACACCCCACCATCAACCTCAGCCTGGACCATTCTACACGAGAGAGCCACTTCCTGGACACCACCGTACAAATCAACAATGGAAAATTAGACCCCACTCTCTACAGAAAACCCACCGACTCATCCAGTTACCTACATGCATCCAGCTCCCATCCAGAACACCCCACACGATCCATCGTCTATAGCCAAGCCCTTCGATACAACCGCATCTGCTCTAACCCCACTGACAGAGACCAGAAGCTTCAGGATCTCTACCAAGCATTTATAAATCTCAACTACCCACCCAGAGAAATAAAAAAGCAAATTGAAAGAGCCAGATGAATACCTAGAAACCATCTACTTCAAGACAGACCCAAGAAAACCAACAATAGAACACCACTTGTCATCACCTACAACCCCCAACTTAACCCTGTCCAACACATTATCAATAAACTACAGCCTATATTGGAACAGGATACCATACTCAAAGAGGCTCTGGGAGACAGACCCATAGTCTCCTATAGACAACCACCTAACCTCAAGATGATTCTTACCAACCACCACAGGACATACCACACTAATACCAACCCTGGTACCTTCCCTTGCAACAAACCCCGTTGCCAGCTTTGTCCACATATTCATTCTGCTGATACCATTATTGGACCTAACCAAGTGAGTTATAAGATCAAGAACACATATTCCTGCGCATCCAGAAATATAATCTATGCTATCATGTGCCGAAAGTGTCCGTCTGCTATGTACATTGGACAAACATCTCAGACACTTCGCCAAAGGATTAATGCCCACAAAACAGATATCAGACAAGATCACAAAGAGAAAACAGTTTCTTGCCACTTTAACCAGAAAGGACACTCTCTAAATGACTTAGCCACCTGCATTCTGCTACAAAGACCTTTTACATCTGCACTTGAAAGGGAATCCTCTGAACTGTCATTCATGTTAAAATTCGACACTTGCCAACAAGGACTTAACAAGACTTTGAACTTTCTCACCCATTACCAAGACAGTTTCCCCAATTATCACCTGTAATACCATTAACTCACAAACATCCCACTCTCCCTACCTTAATATCAGCAATTCACAGACACTTACCTTCCTTCCTCCCCCTTCCCACCCCCCCGCATCCCCCTTCTGTTCTGCAATGTGATTTGTCCTTTTCATATTTGTTCATTTTTTTTAATTGTATCCTTTGATATATATGGTTGTGACTACTTTCTTCCACTATTTGATCTGAGGAAGTGGGTCTGGCCCACGAAAGCTCATCATCTAATAAACCATCTTGTTAGTCTTTAAAGTGCTACATTGTCCTGCATTTTGCTTCAACTACCCCAGACTAACACGGCTACATTTCTATCACTATACTGTTTTGTGTGATCTTTGGCACATCACTCTCTCTCTCTCTCGTCTTCATTCCCTGCCATTTAAAAGTAGGTCAGATTTCCTTTCTCCCTTGCTTTGTCTGCCCTATCTATTAAGAGTCTATGTCACTTAGGTGCATTTGAAATCCCACCAAAAAATCTGAGGTCACTTTTACAAATTTGCCTCTAATAGAGCCAGGAACCCACATTCCTTAAGTCCAAGTCCTATGTTTCCATCACAAGACCAGCCATCCTTCTCACACAGCACGGTCAGTCTTTCATTTGTGCCAGGGCCGAGCCTCAGCACTTTAGGCTTGGCAGTTCATAGCCCTGGTTCCTCTGGGTTTGCTGCATCATGTATGAATGTAAAACAAATTGCTGGAGCCCCTGCACCTCTTTCATTACAAATTAAGCACTGACTGCAAGAATACTGTGGCTCAATCCACAGAACGTCAACTCTACACATGTATCAAATAAGTGCAATTAGCAAAACCTTTCTGCATCACACAGTGTAGCTGGGGTGCTTTCTAAAGTCAGCAAGTCCCAGAGAAGTTTATAGCCACACACAGTTTGCTGATACTGTTTTAGCTTCTCCCCGCCCCATAAAGACAAAAGCATTTACTGATCTGAAATCTATTAGGAAACACCTAAACCCATTTCACTCTTTATACTCATTGCTATTTGCCTATAAAATAAATATACATAGCTAGGTATCAAAATGTACTAAGCTGTTAGCATTTATGTGAAGCAAGAAAATGACCCACAGGAATTCCATTGATATTTTGCATTTAGATCTTCCAGTGCTACATTTTTCCTTACTAATTGAAATAAATAAAGCTCGTCTTCAGCATGTGAACTTCAAAGTCCATTAGCAATTGGGTTCACAATTCCAACCCAATGAAAAACATAAGATTCACGGAAGTGCAAGTGTTCGTTGGCCTAAACTCTGATCATTCTTCACTTTGGATAAGTATAAATAAATGCAAGGTGCATACAGCATTCACAACAATTTTATAGACAAAATAGATGCATTAATGATAGCCCGAGAATTAACTGACATGTCTATGGCAGCCGCAAACAACAACTTTGGAAGAACTGTTTATAAATATTTGTAATTAGGCCACAGCAAACCATAAGTAGATTTTGACTGAAATCTCCTCCACAGCCTTATGACCTTGTTTAATCTCTTAAATGAAGCTCATTGTAATTTATTATTTCTGATATCTCATTCTCGAAACACAGTAGCTGTCTCTTACCAATTATTGTTGAGATTTTAATGCTCAATAATAGTTTCTACTCTTTCTTCTCCGTTCATCACAATTCTCTTTGTAGTGGTTTTGATGCCATTAACTATTTTGCTGGTCGTTATGACTGATTTGAAGTTTCCTTTCCCACTGTTGTTCAGTGACATGATGGAGGATGAAGAGCAGCCCCCAATTCGCTGGGAACCAAATGAAGTAAATCCGGTCCCTGAAATAGGAGACACTCCAGCAATAGAGACAGAGTATCCTTCACCACCTCTGCTTCTTCTTTTTCCATGGAGTCCTCGCCGAATGCCAGACATGCCATCAAGTAGATCATCCCAAAGTTTTACTGTAAAGGAGTCCATTCCTGTAAATACATCTGTGTGGGGGGTGCTGAACAGGAATTCAGAATCAAAGTAACTCCCATCCCTGTCTTTCGCTCTACCTCTACCTTTCCCTCCACTTCTTCTGTCTTTCCCACTTATAATTCCTTCACTAGACATGTCATAGACATCCCGTTTTTTGGCATCAGATAAAACCTCATATGCCTTAGAGACTTCAATGAATTTCTTCTTTGCTGCCTCTCTGTTTCCTGGGTTCTTATCAGGGTGTACCTTCAAAGCCAGTTTTCGGTATGCCTTTTTAATGTCATCTGCAGAGGCATTTCTTTGAACACCTAGAATGTCATAATAATTCACCATCTTGCCAGCATGGTCTCAGCAGCAAAATTCAGTCTCTGTCCTAGCAACCACTGGCAATTCAGGGGAACTAATTCCTTTTGGAATTCTCTCTGTCCCTCAAGTTTATTATGGTTGAGTAATATCACAACTTTTTAAAAGAAAAACAGGTTTGTATTAAAATGATTTACCAAGTATCTCCCTGTGTCCCTCCATGTGTTTAGTTAAGGTATCTTCATGAGAGAGAGACAAGAAACACTAGCTATTTTCCAAATAACCCTCTGCTTTCAAAACAGTCCTGAGGAGGCATTTGTTGGAGGTGGGATTGTGACATCAGAGGTAAGTCAGCTAATAACCATACTGAGGACTTTTGTTCATTTGCATACTGCAATCTCATTGTTTAAAATGCTGTGACCATGGTTATGAGGAGTCAAATTCAGCAGTATTGATATTGAAATATAACCCTCTGGCTACACAAGAGCCATGAATATTATTATAATTTTGTAGTTGGCACTAAAAGTTTTGCTTTATCTGTTAAATATATAAAGTCATAACACATGGCAAAGGGTTACATGCATCAAGTCACCCACACATGCCAGCTTCATTGTTAGAATTTGTGTTTTCATCTGCTGAAGCAGTGCAGACACACTAACAAAGCTCTTTGAATTCAAGCCTTGGCGATATGTTGCAGTCTATTTTAGTGTCTCGCTCTTTGAGCCAATCCTTCAGAATGTTTATGGCTCATGTTTTCTGTTTCAGTATTTTGCATCTTCCTGCTTCTCCCCCCCAAACTCTCTCACAGTTACAGCAACCCCTTCTCTGCTAATTTACTATTTTCACTTTTTTATAGTAATTTCTTCCACTGAAATCAACTTAAATCTGCTGAAATCAGAAAACTATTAAGATTTAATAGTAGCAGATGAAGTATAAGCACCTTACATCAATCACTTGGACTATCAGTTAAAATACACCTTTTTAAAATAATGTATTTTTCCTCGTATGAGACACACAATATGTGAGTGAGATAATATCCTGTATTGGACCAACTTTGGTTGGAGGAAAGGACAGGGTTTAATGCTTCACAGAGCTCTTCCTTAGATCTTTTTTCCTCATCTGTAAGACAAACTCCAGTGTCAAAGCACCTTTGAGCCATTTATCAATGTATTTTATGGATGAGGATCAAGGGATATATTATAAATGCCGTTACAAAAAATGTGGACTTAGTTACTATTATGCAAAAGGCAGAATTTGAGAACAAAGCAAGGGATCACATTTTCCAACAATTCCCTAATACATGTGTTGTAGCTAACCACTATACAAAACAGTGACCCATGCACTCCCTCTTCTAATGGAAGCAGTTTGGTGGAGAACAAAAAGTAAGGCAAAGGGTTACATGGGATGCTTCTCTTCACACACACACACATTCACCTTCTCCCTGCGAGTGTGGGTGGGAGTGTGTGGAGACAGCCACATTATATGCATGCCTGCCCATTCCTGCCCTTAGGAAACTTCATAAGCAGGGGTGCAGACAGCCTCTGTGGACCCCTAGGCAAGATTGGGGGGAGAGGGTGGCTCTATGCTCCCAGAAGGAGTGGGGCGTCAGGGTAGAAGGAGTGATGCCAGGGCTCTGCACCACCCAGAGCACACTGCCACCCCTCTCCTCCCCACCAGCCCTCAGCACCACCTGTAGCACAGCGCCCTGCCCCCGGGCAAGTCCTCAGAGCTGACCAGAATGCAGCGTGCAGCATTCCAGCAGTGATTTAAAGGACTCAGGGCTCAGGCCACCATAAGCCCCAGACATCTTTAAATCCCCGGGCTCCAAACCAATTGCCCTCTTTGCCTCTTACCTGTCAGCAGGCCTGTACATAAGTAAGAGTGGAAAGTAGGGATGCTAGATAGCAGGTAATAGAATGGTCGAGTAACCGCATGGATTCTTATCACTTACTCGACTATTGTATAGTTTCCGGTGACGGGGCCAGCAGCCAGTGTGTTCTGGCCCCATTCCGAGGGAGCCCCCTGCCACCTTGCACTGCTGCCTCTGTATCAGAGGCAGCAGGGTGGAGTGCTAGGTGGGAGCTGGTCCACAAGGGGAGCCAGTTTAAAAACCAGCTCCCCTTGCAGTCTGGCTGCCTGCCTCCCTGTGCTGCTACCTCTGATACAGAGGCAGCAACATGGGGTGGCAGCAGCCCCTGTCCACGGGAGTCCCAGCTCCCCGCGGACAGAAGCTGTTCTAGCTTCAGTCTGCAGGGAGATGGGACCCCTCATGGACAGGGGCTGCCTCTACCCACAGCTTCACAGCAGCCTGTCCTTTCCACTCCTCCCTGCCTCTGATAGTAGTTGAGTATATAATTAAGCTTAGCCCTGAGATAGCTTTAACTTATTGTGAAATTTCACGAAGGATAGCAGAGGACAGCAGCCAATGCCAAGCAGCTGGTGATTCCTCTGTGCAGCTGTACTTGGGTTCTTGAGGATACAGATCTAAGGACCCTTGTAGATCCAAAAATTAGCAGAAGCCCACATAGATAAATAGAACCTTACTGATGGGCAGCCTTCATCACAAAACCACAAGAGCAGTCCTATCCTCCTCAAAATAAAAACAGCACATAGCACTTCTAAACAACCTTCCATCGGGTGATCTCAGAAGCTTTACAGATACTAAGTAGAGTCAACCTCACAAGAGCACAGACAAGTTGGCAATTATTACTGTTGTATTAATGACAAGGCAACTGAAGCACAGAGAGAGAAAGATGCTTGACTGAATTCCCATAGGCAAGTCTGTCAGAGTCTGGAAGAAAGGCCAGAGCCCCTATACTCCTCAGACTGTGAGGTTCTTAATCATAAAACCATTTTTGTGGAGTGGTGGAAAGGAGTCATGGGTGATGTTATTGACAGTGGTAAAGTAGTAACAGTCTCAGTCAAATCTTGTGTCTGTTTGATTACTCATCTTTAAGTGTAAAATATGCTGAACAGTAGCTGTAGAAAGAGGCTCCTTAAACCCTTCCAGAGAATTACCCAAAACAAGGCTTTTTTCCCCCCAAGAATGAGACTAAATTTAGCCACTGGACTGCACTCATAAATCATAATCAGCTAGGATTTCATTTTTCAGGCTTTGAGGTCAGCTAGATTAACTCAGTAGCAAGAAGCTAATTTTATTCCTTATTGAAAGCCACTTCTTTTTTTCTTTTTTTTTTTTTTTTTTGAAAGGTTAACTTTCATTTTAGCATAGAATGACTCGATGCCAAACAAAGAAAGCTAGGGCAGAATTCGGATAGGCTTCGTGTCTGCGAGAGGAAGAGTTTAGAGCTGCAGCTTTTGAAATGCTTTATAGAGGTCCTGAAAGGATGGATGGGTGACTGGGGTGTGAGATACAAGTTTGGTATCAAAGTTTAGAGCTATCTTCATTCAATGACCAAAGTCTTTTAGTGCAATTCAGGTGCATCAGAAAGTAACAGGCAAAGAGGCAGCTTATAGGTTCTAAAATATGTTAAACCTTTCTAAAATATGCATGCTATAAATGCATCTTTTATGCCAAATTAAAAAGGGGATTGCTAAATTGTATGGTTTTTTTAAAAAATGCTTTATTTATACATGTTATAGAAATATGGTGCATATATAAAAAGATTCCAGATTTCTATCTTCCCCTTTAAAGTTGTTCTTATCAGCTGCAGAAAACAAACAAAAAAAGCATTTATTTTACAAAAATTATAGAAATCAAGCACAGAAAATAGGCAGAAATAGAATGTCATGGAAGAGATTATTGCTGTGTAGTTCTGACAGCCATAATTTCTATCTGACCTGTATTTTGTAATACAGGCAGTCCCCGACTTACACGGATCCGACTTATGTTGGATCCGCACTTACGAATGGGGCTCTCTCGCCCCGGAGCTCGCAGGCAGCGGTCCGCCACCTCGACCTCCGGGGAGAGAAAAGCTGCTCCCGGTGCTCCTGGTCTGCTGGGGACCATCTCCAGCAGACCAGGGGCATCGGGAGCAAAGCAGCAGCCCCGGCGGGTTTGCTCGCGGTGCCCCTGGTCTGCTGGGGACCGTCTCCAGCAGACCAGGGGCACCGGGAGCAAAGCGGGTCCCGCGCCAGAGCAAAGCCTCACAGGCGCGGCACCCCGCCGCTGCGGCTTTGCTCCCCGTGTCCATGGTCTGCTGGGGGGGGCGCAGCTAGTGTGCCCCCCCCCCCCCCCCCCCCCCCCCCGCC